CCAAGGGAGACATGTCTTGCTTCTCTTAGAGATAACTACATGTGTTTTAATTGATGGAAATTGTGTTGAGACCATTTGAAGGATACATATTTATGGTATGAACGAACTGCAATAATAAATGCAATTGAATAAATGGAAAAATGTTCCAATTTTTGGCCCACCCTGTACATCGGACTTGCAGGGTCACGCAAGCAAATGTGGGGCTTCTTGTATATTAAATATATCGATGTGAAGCATATATGTCCTCAAAACATTGCTGAAGATCCTCTCAAAATTGCAAATGCCATACCTTAACTGTACATTATAATATACTGAAAATATGAGACATGCGAAAATTTCACGTGCACCATAGAAACTACTATGATAGAATATACGATGCCTATTCGTATATCAATTGTTTGATAAACATTTTCTACATTTACACCCTATGCAGACAGAGCCTGTGGGAAATATTGGGTGCGGCGCAAATGAGCGGAGGGTGCGGAGCTAACGGTCATTTTTGAATTTAAAATTGGGATATTTCTGAAACTAAGCCGTTTTGGGACTTCAAATATACCAAGATATGTGTATTTGACACCAAATACCAATAAAATTGTGAAAATAGTAGTGCAATTCATTTAATAGCGACGCAGTATGCCTTAAACATTTCCCAGACCTATATATTTTGAGACTATCCTTTTAATACTGCGTCCCCAGCATTCATAAAAAATGGTGTTCAAGATACACTACCCATGCAAATTATTTTTGCATCTTGGAAGCCAGGCAGTATCTGTGTGATTTTATAAAAATTCGGAAATGTTCTTCAGATATGAGCCCCCTCTAAATATTGGGTGCGGAGCTACGTTTATGGAGCTGCTCCGCACCCAATATTTAGAGGGGGCTCATATCTGAAAAACATTCCGAATTTTTATAAAATCACACAGATACTGCCTGGCTTCCAAGATGCAAAAATAATTTGTATAGATAGTGTACCTTGAACACCATTTTTTATGAATGCTGGGGACTCAGTATTAAAAGGATAATTTCAAAATATATAGGTCTGGGAAAGGTTTAAGGCACACTGCGTCGCTATAGAATGAATTGCGCTATTATTTTCACAATTGTATTGATATGTGGTGTCAAATACACATATCTTGGTATATTTGAAGTCCCAAAACGGCTTAGTTTCAGAAATATCCCAAATTTAAATTCAAAAATGACCGTTAGCTCCGCACCCTCCGCTCATTTGCTCCGCACCCAATATTTCCCACAGGCTCTGTCTGCATAGGGTGATTTAACTTATGTAAAGTAGTCTAAGAACATTCGTAATAAGTCCTTGGATCCCCCGTTATCTAATCGAAAAGGAAAATAACAATATCGAAAGATATTTTGGCTGATAATTCGGATTAATTTGAAAGAATAGGATACGATACTTTTAATTGAAAACTACTTCAAGCAACACAAAACATAAAGGCCGAGCGAAGACTTTTCTCTCTGTACCCCCGAGGATATCATTTTTTAGATTTAATTGACGCAAAGAAATAGAGATTTGTGAGTCACTTTTGCCCTACAGCGACCGTAGTTCCCAGAAATCGAGAAATACTTTCGGCCTATCCCAGTTTCTAAAGCCTTTGGTCGCTTCAGGGACGCCCTAAGGCGATTGTGCGTCATCACTTCAAAGGTCGTACGGCAACCGCAGGTTGGCCATCTGGACCAATGTATCGTCGTACTTTTAACGCCGTAAAATCTACTTTTAACGCCGTAAAAACGATTTCATAAGCCGTAAAGAATTACTTTTAACGCCGTTAAAAACGATTTTGTACGCCGTCAAAACTGATTTTTTACGGCGTTAAATATTATCTTATACGCCGTTAAAAATTATTTTTTACACCGTCAAAACTGATTTTTTACGCCGTTAGAAATTATTTTTACGCCTTTAGTAATTATATACGGCGTTAAAAATCATTTTGAACGGCGTCAAAACAGATTTTTTTACGCCGTTAAAAGTTAATTTGTACGGCGTCAAAATTGAATTTTTACGCCGTTAAAAGATTATTTAGAACGGTGTAAAAAACGATTTTGCACAACCAATTAAAACAATCTTTTCAAACAGCCAGCTGGATGACACCAAGTACGTTGTTTACCGTTGCCCCATTTTCAGTTATTTCACTATCAGCCATTTTTCATTTTACCCAATGAAAACTCGATGTATATTAAATTCCCGGGACAGTTTTTATGTCTTCCATACAACCAAATGCGTCTCGCAAATAAAAATGCCAATATAAATGATGAATGTGACATACATTAACAGAAAAATAGGGTTTTGGATTTATTTCAATCAGTCGGTAAGTCGAACATACACGTTCGTTTGTTCAATGGATACAAAGATAGTAACGCTGGTTTTAATTGGCTGCCAGCTAAGACGTAATTTACGTGTCACATTATATGGCTGGCCATCTGGACCAATGTATCGTCATACTTTTAACGCCGTAAAAACGATTTTATACGCCGTAAAGAATTACTTTTTACGCCGTTAAAAACGATTTTGTACGCCGTTAAAAAGTATAGCTGGCAGCCAATTAAAACCAGCGTTACAATCTGGTATTCATTGAACAAACGAACGTGTATGTTCGACTTACCGACTGATTGATATAAATCCAAAACCCTATTTTTCTGTCACTGTACATGTCACATTTATCATTTATATTGGAATTTTTATTTGCCAGACGCATTTGGTTGTATGGAAATCTCGGGAATTTGATAAACATCGAGTTGTCATTGTTTAAACATTTTTTCGCAAATGATTAACAATGTTCTGTACGTTCGCAATTTCGAAAGGCGTAAAAAATCAGTTTTGACGGCGTAAAAAATAATTTTTAACGACGTAAAAAGTAATTTTTAACGGCGTAAAAAGTAATTTTTAACGGCGTAAAAAATAATTTTTAACGGCGTAAAAAAGATTTTTAACGGCGGAAAAAATAATTTCTAACGGCGTAAAAATCGGTTTTGACGGCGTCAAAATCGTTTTTAACGGCGTAAAAAGTAATTCTTTACGGCGTATACAATCGTTTTTACGGCGTTAAAAATTATTTTTGACGCCGTTCAAAATGAATTTTAACGGCGTAAAAAATCGTTTTTAACGGCGTAAAAGTAATTCTTTACGGCGTATAAAATGGTTTTTACGGCGTTAAAAGTAGATTTTACGGCGTTAAAAGTATGACGATACATTGGTCCAGATGGCCAGCCATAACATTACAATTCTTGACACGTTCAAAATCATTTTTTACGCCGTTCAAAAAGCTTTTTTACGCGTGGTCAAAAGTAAGGACGATTGTAACGCTGGTTTTAATTGGCTGCCAGCTAAGACGTAATTTACGTGTCACATTACAATTCTTGACGCGTTCAAAATCGTTTTTGACGCCGTTCAAAATGAATTTTTGACGGCGTTAAAAGTTATTTTTAACGGCGTATAAAATCGTTTTTGACTATGGCTGGCCATCTGAACCAATGTATCGTCATACTTTTAACGCCGTAAAAACGATTTTATACGCCGTAAAGAATTACTTTTAACGCCGTTAAAAACGATTTTGTACGCCGTCAAAATTGATTTTTTTACGGCGTCAAAAATAATTATGTACGCGTAAAAAGTCATTTTGAACGGCGTCAAAAATAATTTTTAACGCCGTAAAAACGATTTTATACGCCGTAAAGAATTACTTTTTACGCCGTTAAAAACGATTTTGTACGCCGTTATAGCTGTATAAGTATAGTATAGCTGGCAGCCAATTAAAACCAGCGTTACAATCTGGTATTCATTGAACAAACGAACGTGTATGTTCGACTTACCGACTGATTGATATAAATCCCTATATTTCTGTCACTGTACATGTCACATTTATCATTTATATTGGAATTTTTATTTGCCAGACGCATTTGGTTGTATGGAAATCTCGGGAATTTGATATACATCGAGTTTTCATTGTTTAAACATTTTTTTGCAAATGATTAACAATGTTCTGTACGTTCGCAATTTCGAAAGGCGTAAAAAAATCAGTTTTGACGGCGTAAAAAATAATTTTTAACGGCGTAAAAAGTAATTTTAACGGCGTAAAAAGTAATTTTTAACGGCGTAAAAAATAATTTTTAACGGCGTAAAAAAGATTTTTAACGGCGTAAAAAATAATTTCTAACGGCGTAAATAATTTCTAACGGCGTAAAAATAGGTTTTGACGGCGTACAAAATCGTTTTTAACGGCGTAAAAAGTAATTCTTTACGGCTTATACAATCGTTTTTACGGCGTTAAAAGTAGATTTTACGGCGTTAAAAGTATGACGATACATTGGTCCAGATGGCCAGCCATATTTGACGGCGTTAAAAGTAATTTTTAACGGCGTATGAAATCGTTTTTGACGGCGTATAAAATCGTTTTTGACGGCGTTAAAAGTATTTATTACGGCGTTAAAAGTAGATTTTACGGCGTTAAAAGTATGACGATACATATGGCTGGCTGGCGTTAAAAATTATTTTTGACGCCGTTCAAAATGACTTTTTACGCGTACATAATTATTTTTGACGCCGTAAAAAAAATCAATTTTGACGGCGTACAAAATCGTTTTTAACGGCGTTAAAAGTAATTCTTTACGGCGTATCAAATCGTTTTTACGGCGTTAAAAGTATGACGATACATTGGTCCAGATGGCCAGCCATAGATACATTGGTCCAGACGGCCAGCCATATTCTTGTCTCACAGATAAAGAATACGCCGTGCGGCTGCCGTAGTATTTGTGACTGCTAAAGTAATCGTCGAAATTCTACGGCAGCTGTAGGATTGCTATTGACACTTGAAATACTAGAGCGTATGGCCGTCGTAGCAAATGAGAATGAAGTATTACTAAAGCAAAACGAAATTAGTGAAGTAAAAAAGATGGCATAGGCAAACGTAAAACATATATCTAACTCGTCTAGACATCTTATATTAATTAACATATATCACTCTAACATTGAGTTTAACCCTTCGAGTTATCACTTGGAGTATGATTAAATCAGTACATGGGCCCGAGGACACGTAGTGGCGAATGATTACATCGGAGATCCTGATTGGTATAATTGATAAAAACAGATGGAAGGATGAAACGTTCGATTCATGTGATTCATTAGAAACACAGGTATGTAAATAACATATTTTCTCAATTGAAGTATCGATTACAATTTCCCATTTGATGATGTAGCACATCATTCCACACATACAGTTTTATATCTCCCTTTCCTACTGAAGAGCTAGCTCAAAATAGCTATGAGAGATTGAGTTGCGACCGTACACTGTACACGTTCATGAATCACAGCTGTTAACGTAACGTATTTTATGATCTCCGATAATTAAAGGTCTCAGAATAGAAAAACTGTGTTGGTACTGTGAAATACTGATATTGGTTACAGATTTGTGTAAATGTGCGATAGTAAGTGGAATACCTGGCCAACACGTGGGTACTGACTGGAGGTTTCAGGACCACGCCTGCACATACACTTTCTAAGGAACAGGAATTCTCGCCCCAGTCTTCAAGAAGATTAAAGGTACGTGTAACCGATGTTTCCCTTATTAATTGATTTTTGGGGACGATCCTCTAGTTGTGAGAAAAATTCATCTGATTCTTGAAATATTTATTAGCTATCATCGCAATCAACCATGAGCAATTTCCACGTTTCGCTTGAATACGTTCAAAGAACAGCTATTACCAATTAGCGGTTACTGTGACTATAATACATTATTTTGGTTCATTTTGGAAAAATGAGGAACGGGTTCAAGTGAGTAAATACAAAGAGTGGGACAATTGAGTTACATCAAATGAGGCTTGATTAGATTTAATCAAGCAGTGTATGTGATGAGGTGCACGTACGAGGAGAATGGTGAATTATTGCCATGGGGAATTGTATTGCATACGATAGTCATGCAAATTCAATCTCGAAATTAATGTATTGTTATACAGTCAGTCTTATGCGTTTTTATCGTTGTCGTAATGAGAACCTCGAAATACATGCGTACATATGTCCCACATTCTGATTTAGCTGAATCTCTCTTTATCTAAAGCTTGTTTCTAATGCAAGGGACAGAAGAGACTGTTGATCCGACAATGTACAGGGTGGGCCAAAAAAGATCCACCCTTTTCATTTCAATCTCAGTTTCTTATTTTTGATGCAATCCTTTAAAAAATTAATATGTATATAGCTGAGAAATTTCCTGACAAGTTAATTATATTTCTTTGGTTGCTTTGTTTTCAAAGTAAATGTTTAATATGTCCTTCTCGTTCCAGCAGGGCCAGTTTTAGACTATGACTATGACGCTGTTTATTTATCACCGCGTCAATTGATTGTTGTGATAATCTTTCCCAACATGAAGCTATTCTTTGTGGGTGTTCTTAACGGAATGGTTTGGAACACTATGTACATGGTTTTCTAGTTCTCCCACACATAACAGTCCATTACATTGAGATCGAAAGAATAACTTTATATTGGGAAAGATTATCACAAAATTGATAAATAAATGGCGCCATAGACTAAAACTGGTCGTGCAGGAACGAGAAGGATATATTGAACATTTACTTAAAATACAAAACGGCTAAAAACACACCAAATATTTTATAACTAACTTGTCTAGAAATGTCTCAGCTACCTGTCTATACATATTAATACAGATACATTATTATTTTTTTAAAAATAAGAAAATGAGATTAAAATGAAAAATGTGAAAATATTTGAAGCCCACCCTGTATAGTATATTCAATGCAATTTGGCACTCTAAGCGACCTCATACTATATATTTATATTATCAGATAGATAAAGTAGCCCATCGTGATGATCAAACATTTACTCGTTGTAGTACTATTTAGTTTTTTAATCATTATTTGCCATTCAGTAGTAGTTTTAATCGCCATGTTTGATCAGGCATTGAGAAATAGATATTCAAGTATCTAATTATCGAACGACACCAAATAAAATAAATTCATGGTTTGTCGATTTTACACCCACAAATATTTTACGCATTTTTATACGTCATGACTTTGACGACTGTACTAACATGCATCTTTAATTAGTTCGTTCATATGATTTAGAAGGGAACCATGGGAGGTTACGTCTCCTCTGGACAGCATTTTTGTTGATACTGGATATCAAAGTATCCTACATAAATTGATTCATTTTATTGTTTCAGTTTGAGTCAAAGGGTCTACACACTTTTAATGTCAGTGGAAATCAAACGAGAGGAGAAAATGAGCAAGTCACAAAAGACGCATGCACATAGTAGTCCTCGGACCAGAAGTGCCACACCGAGTTATATATCACCACCAGACGCTTTAAAACCATTGGACGAAAAAACTTCCAACAAATTCCAGAAGTTATTCTCATTCGCTGAATTTTACAATAATGAAAAATTAAGCGATGTCCAACTTAAAATTCCACTTCCGGATGGCACATGCCAACGCTTCCATGCTCATAAATTTGTCCTAAGCGCTCGGAGTGATACATTTGCAAAAATGTTAACAGTAGAGGGAAAATGGAAGGAGAGCAAATCTACTGAGTTCACGGTAGACATTGCCGCCAATCAAGCCGATGTATTTTACCGATTTTTGTACTTCCTGTATAGTGGGACGGTCTGGTTGCATCGCTCTTACATATGGCCGCTTTACCAACTAGCCGACTTTTACATAGTACCAGAACTACTTTTCCTGTGTTTTGATATGATGAAAAACAATTTAAAACCAGATAATGGTAATTTCCTGTTCTCCTTAGACGCCATTCACCAGATTCACAATAGATCCCAAGATGAAACCATCCGAAAACTTGCCGAGAGTAACATGCAGGCGAGATTCGAGAATCTCGTTAAAGAGACCGATCTTTGGCTGAGCCTATCAAAAGATCTGGTCATCAAGGTGCTCAAAGGTGACGGTTGTTATGCCTACGATGGCGAAGACGCTTTGTATGAGGCTGCATATCGCTGGGTTACCAACTCTAAAGACAGGGACTCCGTTGCCGTTGATGTCTTATCTTATATCCGTTACCCTCTCCTTAGCAGGGGAGTGCTCTATAAGGCATTCAAGCTTAACAAGTACACCACGACCGACCCTGGTTTGAAAGCTATGGTGCAAGACGCAATCAATTACAAATGTTTCTCAAGCGTCAAAGAAGCCGAGAAAGATTTCACTGGTAAACAATACCAGAAAAGAGACAAGAAGTTCATAATATGGATATAGAAATTGAGACTTCTTATTTGTAGGAAATACTAATAATCCATAGTGTGTAATTAAATTGATTGAACATGTCTTCTTTTTATATGCTTAAATTGAATCATATTGTCTATTTATACATTATTAGGACAGCATACATGTGTCTTCATAGCTGATATAGTATATAAAGTGTGCAACGTGTGGACGGGACAGAGGTTTGATGCAAGAACAATAGTGTTATCCGGATTCATACATGATTCACTCAGAAAGAAATTCATTCCTTTGCAACCGATCAATTATGCATGAGCGCTCCTTATATGGTCCTTCAAGCCTTTAACGGACAACAGTAAATTGGAAAATCCCCTCCTCCTGAATCCATACGCAATGCAATACGTAAAAGAGACCAACTTGGGCAAGGCTACAATACAAAGTGTTTCGGGTAATAAACACGGGGTCTATCCAGGCCCCGCTGACATCGCGAACAATGAGCTCATGTTAGAAGCGGGGCCTTGAGAGATAGGAAATATTGAAATATAGAATGTCCCATGAAACTTTAGTAAGTGAAACTCAGTACAACTTTATACCATAGTACAATGGCCATTTCAATTGCAGGGCAACGACGTTCTTCAACTATAACTCTATTTTATCATATCTCTCAAGGCCCTGCTTCGAACATGAGCTCATTGCTGGCGATGTCAGCAGGAACTTGCTCGCGATATATGGGTCCTGGATAGTCACCGTGTAATAAAGGTGCCTGGTATTGTATCATAATTGTGATCAAATTGAATATGGATTTTGATAATTTGTAAAAATAAAACTCGCTTATGTTTTTCCCATGGTTGATTTGGCGACTATATAATTTTCCATTCATTTTATGATATATTAAAAGTAGAATATTTATTTCATTATTTATTGATTTTGCATTGAGGACTTTTATAGAAACAAATTTATCATTCTGCCAATGTTAGTATATTCATATTTGTGAAATTGCAATATATATCATAGATTGTCTGTATTCGCTGCATATTGTATTTGTAATAAACGAAATGTATCATATCTAATAAAAACATAGACTTGTATATTGTATAACCTATTATAGATGCGGTGCTTTTAAAGAACTAGATACGATATTTGCATATCCCAAGTGTAAAATTGAAGATGATGATATGATACGTATTGAGAGAATAGACTAGGTGCGAGTAGAAATAATCTTGATTTACGTCATTAAATATTCAAAATTCAGTCAAACTGATGTCATATTTGAAATCTACGTGTAAAAGTACTTCTAGAAATATGGTTTCGAAAATAGTTTATCAACTTTGAAAATTAAATTTGTTTTGAAAGTGTGACTTCTAGTTCGGGTTGATTCCCCATAGACCCCATGTTACAAAATCACAAAAAGTGAGATATCTTTTCTTGTATTGGACAGATAACATTTTCCTTTATTGGACATATTTTAATTTTCATAACTATTAGATACATAAGAGTAATATGAAAATTGAACCACTAAAACAGATATGATTTAAGTTAAAGGGAACTTTCTACTATACCCGCCATGTTATCTGACCCGAACGAGCCACCTGGTGGTGAAATTGGTAACTTCCTACTCGCATCTTTGTTATTAGATGAAATCAAAAGTGGACATTTTGATGAATCAGAAAATAACATTGACAGGTATTACGTTAACCACACTTTATTTACAATTAAGACACAATGTTAGGTTATAGTGTTCATTTTAGGGTCCAGTATCCGCATATAAAAGAAACGTCCAATATATCGTCCGCCGGTGCCTGTGTATCCAGTATCCACCATGGTATGCATGTAATAGTATGTGGTCTATGGTTATGATTCTATAGCTATGCGTATATTTTCTATTTGATAAATTATCCATCTGTGGTTGGTTATGATAATTTTATAAGCTATGTAGGATTTTCTATTTGGTAATTTCCATCTGTGGTCATCTTGATACATCCATCCAAGGTAATTCATATGGCTGAAGGAATACACTGGTTTAACAGCATGACTTGTGGTTACAATTGAACTATGTGGGCTATTGTATTTGTTAATTTATATCCATCTACGGTTATGATGCTTTAGGTATGTATCCATCTTTGGTAATGATACTTTAGCTATGTGGGCTTTTCTATTTGGTAAAATATCCATCTATGGTTACGATACTTTAGCTATGCAGGCTTCTCTATTTAATAAACTATCCATCTTTGGTAATGATACTTTAGCCATGTGGGCTTTTCTATTTGGTAAAATATCCATCTATGGTTACGATACTTTAGCTATGCAGGCTTCTCTATTTAATAAACTATCCATCTTTGGTAATGATACTTTAGCTATGTGGGCTTTTCTATTTGGTCAAAAATCCATCAATGTGTATGGCTAATTTGCATGGCTTATATTCAGTTAGCTTTCAATCTATGCGTGTTATCACATGAGGGGGTTTGCTTTTTAGTGAAATATTCATTTATTGGTGTGGTCTTCTTCGAGCTTAATTCCGTAAAATGGATTCTGATATGATTGATCCTATAGCTATAGCTAAAATATCAATTAATGGGTATGGTCCTCGGTATATCTATGTAAGGCTATTTTATTCTGTAAAATCCCAAAATGGTTATGGTTCGCAAAGAACAACTAGTTTGTCATATTGTTGCAGAGCAAACACCTGAGGATCGGACCAACAATCTCTGCAAGCGATCACCTGCAATGGAAATACAAATGTATTTAGGAATGGGACTCAATGCATTGTTTGTGAAATTATTGCTTGCCTAAACCAAGTCTGAAGGCCGAGGTTTATAAGAAAATAGGTTGATTTATATGAAATGGATGCATGCTTCATTTTGTTATGGTGTAGTGGACGAATTCCAAATTCCCCAAAAAAATGTGACAGGGTTATTTTAGCATCATATTCGTGGATAAATTGTTCAACTGATATAGCTCAAAGATCCAGTTCTTTTTTATTTAATTAAGGCCTTGATACGGATTGGTTTGGCGAATAAAAGGCGTGTATTAGACCATAACTTAGCATGGGAAAATAAATACTCACATTTTCAACGCAACCTGGAAATTCAGTTCCCGCAACGTCATTCAGATTTCCAACTGTTAGTGGGCAATTAGTAGGAATGATGTCACCTAAAATATACGATCATTTGATAAATACAGGGTGACCCAAAAAACAGAACTCTCCAAAAATGAAATAATTTCTATAATACTTATGTTATCAGCTTCATTTTTATGTTCAGAAACTACAATCTATGGATGATAATGTGAGATCAAATTTGTTACATAACATTCAATATTTTTCTTGTCAATTAAAAAATGTGCCCACTTTTGAAAGAAAACAAAATGTAAGATTTTCGTGTCAACCTAAAGGTTACACATCGTTTGTTTAAACCCATCACATTAATTTACTTTCCCATTCTAAAAAACCTCCCTATATAAGTGTATATAAGCTGATCATTTTTTCCATTCAGGTGTTTCACAATTCTCCTTTCTTCCTCTTCCAACTCATTATTAAATATTCGATTTTGAAATTAAATGTTATGCAATGCTCTTAATTGATCATTCTGCTGTCTTAACGATTTCTTGAGAATTCATCCAATGGAATTTCGTACAGCATTTGAGGTGTTCTTGCTCATTACCATTACCTATTCTTCATTTTTCAATTAAAATATTTAATGAGACTTTCATTTGACGACTTCTTTGGAATTTCCTTCTGAATTTCTCATATTAGAGCTCAAGATATGGTTTTGTCTCAATGTAGATTTTCCGAAAATTGGACATATTCTAAGATCATCCATGATATCACAAATAATCATTGTTGTGAAACACCCTTAACATCATATTATCATCCATAGATTCTAGTTTATGCACATACAAATTGGGTTGATAGGATGAGTATTTAAGAAATTATCATACTTTTAGAGGGTTCTTTTTTGGGTCACCCTGTAGTCACGTGACTGGCAAGTAGGATTCTTCCTAGACAACCTCTTAACCCCCCTCCCCCAATTACTTATTACATTCTAGGCTAAAAGTGTTATATCATTCCAAATTAGTAACTTACCTCCCATCGTGATGGGATCGTGGGGCTCACCAAGATATTGTATTTTCAGTACAGGGTCACAGTAGACCATTGTGATGTCAATCAATTGCCCAGGAACTAAAGGATCCTCCTATTAACAAAAACACTTATAACATTGGCACAAGAAAAGCTGTATTTTCAGAATCAGGTATATGCTTTATTTTGTCGTATTCGTAGTCTACCTACAAGCCTCTCTACCCCCCCCTCTACTTGACTTCATACTTGTGAGCAATGTCTTGTAGCGAGACTATCGTATTCGCTCTATTTTACGACAACAAAGTTTTACTGAATCTGGACAATTATTCGCCAGCCAAATGTCAAGGTCATCACATATCATATAAGTTATAATTATTTTTAAAAATCAGAACTGCGGGCATTAACATGCAAAACGTCTTCACATGCCATTTGCTACAGACGTAAAACACCGTCCAAAAAGTTGGTGATTACATGTATAACAATATGTCACCATTCGTGACAATTAAAGGAAACATTTTGGAATTGAACCTGAAATATTTTCTGTTTCATTTTTATCTAACACTACTTACATAGGGATCGAATTGGTAGTTCCTCAGCTCAGCCTTCTCAGTAATCAGATTTAAATATCCTTTCTGGCCCTCAATCCAAAATTCTATTGTACCATTGCCTCCGCAACATCCATTACTGACTAGTCCTTGTTTAGGGATATTTACAACACCCTGGCTGTCTTCGAATCTTTCGGGAATTTCGAAGAAGAAAGCAATGGAAAATATGGGGCCGTATATCATGTTATTGAAGTGGGGTATTTTGATGGAGCTCCCGATACCACTGAAACAGCCTTTGTGTCGATCGGCCGACAAAGGGAATTCCTCGATGTGGACTCCGGTAATGTTTAAATACAGAGTGTTGATGACGTCAATGATTTCACCCCTTTCAAACGCCAAGCAGAAAATGCAGTCGCATGTCGGTAGTCCTGTAATAAACAATTTGATCCAAATTCAAATATTCTGACCTTGATCTAAACATTTTGTCCGTAGTCCAAACATTTTGACCTGAATCAAAAAATGTTGACCATAATCCACAAAATATATCTTTAATATCAGATATAAACTAGAATTTATTATTTTTACTATTTAGTATTTTTCCTCAAACTTGCATGGATTTGATAAGTTATACAAAAATGCTAATAAAGAGAGCGCTTACTATGGTGTTCAATGCATCCGCATTCCTCTAAATCAAAACGACCTTCACTTCCACAACAAATTGAACTTTGAACCCTGTTCACAAAGAAGCAATTATTATCATTTTTCGTGTAGATACGGTCCCCTTTGATGCACTCATCTAAAATGTAGAATCATATATTCTAATTGATAATCAAAAAGTAAAATGGTTTTAAGCAAATGTTGCACGCATGGGAGTCCCAAATACGCAAACGTAAGCAAATGGGTAACGTGATTTTGTTCATAACGCAAAACGTGAAAGACATTGCACTTATAGAATAAAAGGGTAAAACTTGAACACAATTTGCACAAACACAAAATGTTTGGTTCTACCATTAGAAAGGACAGTGTCTCTTGAATGAGAAACTGAAACCAGAAATTCTGTAACTAGAAGTTGTCCTTGCACTGGACTGAGAGAAAGCCTTATAAATAAAAAAAACGATTGTAGAAGTCCAAGAGCAACCCTCGTATGACCATTCAACTAATCGCAATCTATTGCTCACTTTCTTCAAGTGGGGGAAACGTGAACGTCGTAGGAGTAACGATTCCAACTGAAATGCAAATTATAGAATGTTAAATTACAGCAAGACGAGTAATTCTATAATTTCTTAGTTATTACCTATTTGTTACTTTGTAAGAGAGTAAGTATTTCTAAACTTTCGAAATGAAGAAAATCTCGTTCTTATAACAAACCATTAATGTTGTGGAAAATCTTTAAAATCCTATAGGGTTCTGTATTTTTTCAAGCCAAAAAATACTTCATGAGATATGTTTCGAATTTCATATTCATTTACATTTTAAAAGTGACTGGTCTTCAAGAATTTTCAGATATAAAACTAAAAGCTGTGTTTACTCACAGTGACATTCTGATGTACACAGTGGATTGCGTTTCTCTAAATCGCAAGTGGCTGAAGCAGAGTTCCATACAAGCGGAAACATACATCGCATCACGTTAGAGATGATTCTACCTAGTAACAACAATTATCCTATGATATTGAAAAAAATATTTATATTCATGAGTAAATATCGAGTAGATATTTTCCGAGTGAAATACTAATACTGATTTTGTCAATATTTATTTATGAATTTTAAAAGCTCATACGGAAATTGCACATGCGTGTGTGATACTTTTACCAATTGTATATTTCTCAACGAAATACTATTATATAAGCTAATTTTAAAATATCGATGCGAACTTGTCTGTGCAATCACAAATACATAATATTTTAAAAGTAGAAATAGAATGTCACAATAAAGAATAGAACCAAAATGGTTTAAGGAGAAAATAAACAAATGAAGGCTCGTGTGAAGGAGATGTTTGCAGTGTTGTAATGAATTGTATTGATAAATAGGGATGCTTACTTTTAACGCGGTTGTAATTTACCGAACGGCAAAGGTAGAAAAAATCCGAACATTTTGAACTGATTAAGATCTTTAAATTGTGAAGGTCTGAGTACCTGGACCTCTTAGAAAACATCCAAACATATCAAAAAGGGAAGATAGGTCAATTTGATTCTCGTTCTCCGAAGATATTAATAAAATAGTTAAATGTTCGGAGTTTTTTTAATGCTGTAAATTGTTCACAATTCTACCCTTTGCATTCGTTTGACTTCACTTCTTAAAAGAGAGCTTCGTCTTCAGTTTTACTAGACTCTGCACGCAGGGTATCACAATTCTAAATCAAGAGGTTGCTCGTATTTCTGTCGTATTTAGGAAATCATGTTGCCGAAAATCAATGCACAGTGTTCATGGTGTTGTTGTAAAATTGCGTATATGTCGTTTGAAACCCTCTCTAACGCAATTTTATTATAAACTAACACCTTAGGGTTAAACTTTTGCTCGAGGAATTAGCTCATTTTCATCAATAAATATTAACCCATCGGGTTTTCTACTAGTAAACTAACGTTTAAACCTCAGTCCATTGTCGTTATCACTTACTACTAAACCCAAGTGAGATATGGCTCTTGCCTCAGCACGAGTCAATAACAGTAATATACTGGTATTTTTTTTAAAATATATATTTATTCAAGTCAAGAACTGGTATTTATAGAGCAGCAATATTTTATCCTTACCTCTCCCCCTGCTGGCTGGTAACCTACTACATACAATGAATTGGCAACAATCACCAGGATACGCGAAATATCCCCCATCATGCTGCTCGCACTGCTGTTCACAAAATGCTAAAAGTAAAGAATGAATCCATGCGTCTTTCAAAGTGAAATCTGAGAAGTGAGTCATTGTTCACTTCAATGCATGCACACACATCAGTCACATACTAATATACAGGTTATCCAGGAAGTAAAGATACAAATCTCTCGATTTTATGAGATTTTGAAATAGCCAATGAAATAGCCAATGAATAAATGTTTTAGAGTAAAATTAATTTTTCTCAGTTGAACAAACTGCATTATATTATGTTCTACTAGAGTACAGCTAAATATTTTTGTACATACATCACATACACACATGCATAAAGAAAGTCTAATTGACTTGAGATAGTGTCAGTGATCTACTTTAAACATGCTTACTGCTGATTTATTGTTCAAAGCAGTAGAATGTACATAAAAGGTAAAGTGACATACCCTTGCCATCATAGTAGCCATAACATTTACCAAATCAGTTTTGCCTCGATATCTTTCTAATAACTTTTTCTTTTTTACTTTAGTGTCTGATACCAAAGTTTCAAAACAGCGTTATTTTGGAAATGCCATTTTTATAATATTTTCTAATAACCTGTTAAACATACAAAGTTAAAGAGAGAATCAGATATAGCGAGCAGACTAAACAAAAAATTGTTTCAATTTTAGAATATTTTTGGCTCATGTCATTCCTTGTCATGTATATTTTCTAAAAATCACAAAAGTGCATACTTTATTCCAGGAAAACTAAAGATTTTTACAAAAATGTATTATTTTTCTATAAGAATGGTTACCATTCTTATTATTTGGGAGAATTTAAACATTTCTCATCCATTTTTGCACTTTGAATCATTAATAACTTAACCAATTTATAACATATCGTGAATCTTTTCGGAGATATTGTATTTGGCATTGTAATGAATAGATTGGAAGGTCAATCGTACATGTTGCCTGTAATTTTGTCACCCCCTATGGATCTGATTCTGCCTTTAATGTTCAATAATTTGTCATGGAATGGCTCAAGGAAAACTGAAAACATAACTAGCGTACAAATTTCTGTACTTATATGATCGGATATGATTAAACAATGATGTTTTTTAAAACATCAGATAAATTATTTTTGTTTCTTTGTCCAACCCTTGCTTTGTTTAAACTCATAATTTGTCACTTTTAAAAAGTTGAATCAAAACAAATAAGTATGGGGTAAACAAAATGTGTTATATGTTAAGAATGTTTCCGATTCTCCTAAAATATATTAGTTACGATAGATAAAACGTATTAGAAAAATAGAGAGGCATACGTTGGTCAGGGCTACTATAATTAATAAAGAGTGACATATATTCAGAGATACACGAAGAATATCGAAATTAATGATTTAGACTATCATATCGTTTAAACTCATATATTTATCATACATGTGGTGCATATCAAATGAATCACTAATGCTATCAATCTCCCGACTCAATACTTTACCTTGAACATCGATTTCGAAAGGTGGAAATCCTACATCTATAAAAAAGGATTTTTTATACAACGTGAATATGAATATGAAGGTACATGTACAAATGTATCACCATTCTTCACTCACAAAATGTCAAGCTTTGATGACACAATTGTATTGATGAACTTATGAAAGGCAATTTTCAATTTTTCAAGAAAATTAGTTTTGACAAGAAATCAGGGGCAAACGGTTAAAGATCCTCAAATTTGTAAAAAAATATACAATACATGTGCTGCATTTTATACTATATGCTTAAAGAGGCGGTCATTTATTTAATTTCTATTCTATCTCCAGATCAAATCAATTAATGAGCTTAAATCATTGGGGAATGAGGTACATGTATATTAACTAAATGTATGCAACAAAAACTTTTGATAAATACGTTCAGTGAACATTTTCTATCAACAATAAACAGTCAACAACATACATTACAACATAACATACACGTACATGTACAATTAAAAAAGATATGTCAGATTAATGAATGCGATAAACGAAAATTTTCGATTTTCCGTATATCAATATTATTAGATACGAGAAAGTAGTAGTGAAAAAGGAAATCTCCAAATCAAGGACATTTATTAATCTGACATGTACTAACGTGAGCCACAACAACAAATTGATGATTATTGAGAAGTAATATTTACAAAAGGCCAGATACTTTTACCTTATTTATTGATCACCCTGTAAATGAATTACAATGACTACAAATACATAGAAGAGTCTCCACAAAATGCGACCACATCATCCTATATATTTTGGAATAACTTTCCAGTTTTCCTAATGTCTTGTCAAATTTTGTTTTCTAGAGTATTCGATGCTTGTCGCATCCATGTTATACAACAAAAATATGAAGCATAAAATCATAGTAAGATAAATCCATGCTATCCATGTTACACATGAAAATGCTAGCCATGTTACATAGGAAAAATAACATTATGCTATTCTGTTACATTACATGCCAATGTGCATAAGACTATGAGGTAAGGAATAATATCATTCAATCCGATGACACTTCGATGGATATAGATAAAGGTAACGATCGTGCTATCCTCATTACATACTAATGAATATAACCTCATGCAATCCATGTTACACACCAAAGACTATAACCTCATTCCATCCATGTTACACATCAATTAATATAGCTATGTTACACACCAATGACTATAACCCATTGCTATCAATATAACACACCACTGAATATAAACTCATGCTATCCATATTACACATCAATGAATATATCCTCATGCTATACATGTTAAACATTAATGAATATAATCTCCTGCTATTTTTTTATTTTATTTTTTTAAACTTTTTTTTACTGCTGCCTAGCGTCAGTGGTATCATAGGCTAGCTAACCTTATGCTATGCTGATTACATACCAATGAATATATCCTCATGCTACCCGTATTACAACAACATATAACCTCATGTTATCCATGTGACACACCAACGAATATAACCTCATGCTATACATGTTACACACCAATGAATATAGCTTTAAGCTATCCATGTTACATACCAATGAATATAACCTATGCATGCTATTCATGTTACACACCAATGAATATAACCTCATGCTATTCATGTTACACACCAATGAATATAATCTCAAGCTATCCATGTTGCAGACCAATGAATATAACCTCATGCTATCTATGTTGCAGACCAATGAATATAACCTCATGCTATCCATGTTGCAGACCAATGGATATAGCCTCATGCTATTGCTATACATGTTAAACACCAATGAATATAATTTCATGCTATCCATGTTACACATCAATGAATATAACCTCAAGCTATCCATGTTGCAGACCAATGAATATAACCTCATGCTATCTATGTTGCAGACCAATAAATATAACCTCATGCTATCCATGTTGCAGACCAATGGATATAGCCTCATGCTATTGCTATACATGTTAAACACCAATGAATATAATTTCATGCTATCCATGTTACACATCAATGAATATGGCCTTATGTTATCCATGTTACACACTAATGATGGGAACCTCATGCTATCCATATTACACAATGGTAAATATAACATTTTGCTATGATGCTATTCATGTTACACACCAATGCGTATAACCCCTAGCTTCCATATTACACACCAATGGATTTAACAGTATACTATCCATGTTACATACCAGTTAATAGAACCACATGCCTTCCATGTCAAACGCCAATGTATATAACCTCATGCTATCCATGTAACAAACCGTTGAATATAACCGTATGCCATCTACGTTGCACACCAATGAATATAACCTCATGCTACCCATCTTACACACCAATGAATACAACCTTATGCTATCCATGTTGCACACCAATGAATACAACTTAATTGTCCCTATGTTACACAACAGTTTATAGAACCTTATGCTATCCAGCGCATACAACCTCATGTCGCCTCATGCTATCCATCCATGATACACACCAATGAATATAACCTCATGCTATTCATGTTACATACCAATGAATATAACCTCATGCTATTCATGTTACACACCAATGAATATAACCTCATGTTATACATGTTACACACCAATGAATATAGCTTTAAGCTATCCATGTTACATACCAATGAATAACCTCATGCTATCCATGTTGCAGACCAATGAATATAACCTCATGCTATTCATGTTACACACCAATGAATATAACCTCATGCTATTCATGTTACATACCAATTCGTATAACCTCATGATATACATGTTACACAACAATGAATATAGCTTTAAGCTATCCATGTTACATACCAATGAATATAACCTCATGCCATTCATGTTACACACCAATGAATATAACCTCATGCTTTTCATGTTACACACCAATGAATATAACCTCATGCTATCCATGTTACATACCAATGAATATAACCTCAAGCTATCCATGTTACACACCAATGAATATAACGTCATGCTATCCATGTTGCAGACCAATGAATATAAGATCATGCTATCCATGTTACAGACCAATGAATATAACGTCATGCTATCCATGTTGCAGACCAATGAATATAACGTCATGCTATCCATGTTACATACTCTCTGTGGCACAACAATGAATAAAATCATGTCATCCATGGGACAGACCAACAAAAATGAAGAATATCATCATCCTATCCATTATACATGGCAATGAATATAACCTATGCATGCTATTCATGCTACACACCACTGAATATAACCTCATGCTATCCATGTTACACACCAATTAATATGACCTCATGCTATCCATGTTACAAACCAATGAATATAACCTCATGCTATTCATGTTACAAACCAATGAATATAACCTCATGCTATTCATGTTACGGTAGCCATGTTACAAACCAATGAATATAACCTCATGCTATTCATGTTACAAACCAATGAATATAGCTTTAAGCTATCCATGTTACAAACCAATGAATATAACCTCATGCTATTCATGTTACAAACCAATGAATATAACCTCATGCTATTCATGTTACAAACCAATGAATATAACCTCATGCTATCCATGTTACACACCAATTAATATGACCTCATGCTATCCATGTTACAAACCAATGAATATAACCTCATGCTATTCATGTTACAAACCAATGAATATAACCTCATGCTATTCATGTTACAAACCAATGAATATAACCTCATGCTATCCATGTTACACACCAATTAATATGACCTCATGCTATCCATGTTACAAACCAATGAATATAACCTCATGCTATTCATATTACAAACCAATGAATATAACCTCATGCTATTCATGTTACACAACAATGAATATAACCTCATGCTATCCATGTTGCACACCAATGAATATAACCTCATGCTACCCATGTTACACACCAATGAATATAACCTTATGCTATCCATGTTGCACACCAATGAATATAACCTTATGCTATCCATGTTGCACAACAATCAATATAGCCTTAAGCTTTCCATATTACACACCAATGAATTTATCATTGTACTATCCATGTTACATACCAGTAAATAGATCCACATGATTTTCATGTTAAACACCAATGTATATAACCTTATGCTATCCATGTTGCACACCAATGAATATAACCTCATGTTATCCATGTTACACACCGATGGATATAAAGTCATGCCATAGATGTTACACACCAATGGATATAACGTCATGCGATCCATGTTGCACGCCAATGACTATAACCCCATGCTATCCATGTTGCAGACCAATGAATATAACCTCATGCTATCCATGTTACGCATCAATGGATATAACGTCATGCTATCTATGTTGCAGACCAATGAATATAACGTCATGCTATCCATGTTACACTCTAGTGAAGCATACTCTCTATGGCACAACTTTGAATAACATCGTGTCATTCCCGAGACACACCAAAAGTGAAGAGCATCATCATCCTATCCATGATACACACCAATAAATATAAATAATACCTTCCAATGAATATTTAAGGTAAATGATCTCACTATTGTCTATCCCAACAAATATGAAAATATCCTCGTGTTATCTAAGTTACACACTAAAAATTAATATAAGAATGACCGAATGTCATTCGTGTTTCCTACCTATGAAAATTAAGATTATGTCCATGCTATTAACAAAAAATTAATGTCAACCCAATGATATTAGTAAAAAACACTCATGCCATCTATAATGCTATTAAATAAATATGAAGAAATTAACCAATTATCCATGTCACACACAAAATATATTGAGGGTATAGAGTATCATCTTATTATCTCTGTGGTATAACAATGGACCTCATGCTACCCAAGTTACACACCAATAAATATTAGTAAAAATTCCATGCTATCCATATTAGACACCAATGAATATAAGTGAAACCATCATGCTATACATGTTACCATACCAACATAATATGAAGTATAATACCATGCTATCTATGTTATACACCGATGAATATGAGAAATAACATCATGTTACCCCTGTTCCACAACAGTAAATATTACGAATAACATCATCATGACTGTATGCAAAATAAC